GGGGTGATGACGGCGGCCCCTTCCTTCTCTCCGGCGAGGCCTCCCCTTCTCCTTCCTTCATTCCAAAACCGACTGGCGCCAAATTCGGATCAGCTAACTGATGTGTAGCTAAACTGTTCAAAAGCCGTGTTATCATCATAAACAACTAATCATTGCAAGCTCTCAAAAAGTGTCATGCACCATGACAGTTCACTCAGCCGATGATTGCTAATCCGGAGAATGCACCATCGGAAGATTCTAAACAAAAAGAAGAACACGCGTAGTACCATCAGAAGGAGGTTGAAACCGTTTTCCCACCCACTGCCGCTGCGACGACAGCTCGGATTCGAAATTTGACGCGAAATCACAGAAGCACCTCACGAAAGAGTCCAACGGGCCCAAGATATTTTACGACAAGAGAGGCGCTGATCGGCCCAAGGAAAGATATCCAGGGGACCGAGGCAACGGAGCCTAAAAACGAGCTAACCATAGTTAGTTCGCCTTACCTTTCCCGCACGATACAGACCAAACCAGGGTTCCGCGTACGCCAACGGCGAAACCAAACCACTATCATCCTCTTCCTCGACCTCGAGCTTCCCCCTGTCCCCTCCATTCCCCCCGCACAGGATTCCCCAGATCGACGCCCCGGTTCCTCCCGAACCGCACCGGAATCCCCCGCCGGATTGGCCCCGCCCATGGTGTAATCAGGGGTCCCGACCGCGCTGGCGATGGAGGCGCAGTGGCTCGCCGAGTACCCGCACCAGGCCGCCGACAACCGGCCGCGCAAGCGCCCCCGCCTCGCATGGGATGCCGCGCCGCAGCTCTTCCCGCCCCCCAAGGTATCGTGCACGTGGCTTCCCGCCTCGATCCGCTTCTGGGCGCGTCGTTAGGTGTTAGTTTTTGGGCTAGATCTAGTCCTGGTCTCGTTAGGTTTGGGCGGGACGGCTCGATCCAGGTGCGGGGCTGGTGGTATGCGGTTCTGCCATGTGGTTGTTGCGGATCATCGGTGAGATTTCGCGAATTAGTGGAATAAGCTGAGAACAAGTTGCGGGTGCATAGAGGAATTTTGGATAAAAAGTGGGGATGGAGGACTGTGCAACCTCTGTGCTGCTCAATTTATGGGGCTGGCAAGTAAAACCTGCTAATAATTATCGTGTAACCGTCGATTAATGAATGTCCCATCTTTTGGAAGAACTCACGAGCGTTACTCGATGAGCTGCTCTACTGGACAGTGATTTCAAAGGACGCCAGGCGGTGTGTGGTCGTTGTGCCGCGAATCACGTGGCGGGCGTTTAGCCGTTTCTCTTCAATTAAATTCTTCTATGCTCGTTGTCGGTCTAGTATTTGTCGTTACTAAGAATATCACTGCTGGCTTTTGTAGGCAATCCCGATGCTATATTGTGGGCAGGAACTAATCAACGGCAATTTCACTACTGCTTTCCTGCCGCCACCACCAATTTATTATGCTGGACCACCGCGGAATCTTTCGCCCCCTTGGAGGCCGGATGACAAGGATGGACACTATGTTTTCACACTCGGCGAGAACCTTACACCAAGATGTACATTCCACAGCTCAATCTTTTATGTATTTATTTTTGCTTGAACAGGTTACTTGTTTTCTCGACACAGTTAGCTTCCTTTAGCTGCTTTATTCTGGTGATGTTTCTAGTGGTGAAGTGCCTGTAGTATTGAATGTTAATGTTAAATATCGGCATGAGGCTTTCATCTTTGTTATTCTGGCGTTGCATAATTATTTCCCGGTTTATCAGTCATTAACCACTCCCAGTAAACCATGATAGTGTTAATCTGAATCTCTTTACTTGGCTTGTAACAAGTTTTTCATGTGCCATGGTCATGTCTTTTAGATGTGTGCTAACCGCTCAATGCCTTCACGCCTTCTAGCTTTACTTGATGTTATAGTATTTCTGTTTCACTGCCTCCAGAAGAGACAGTTTGAGTTAATTATAAGCTTTCTCATTGTTTTCCGGTATGTCAATGCAGATAGGATACTCAGCAAGATGGGCGAAGGTTGGTTTGCATCTCCTCCCTCGTCTTTGTTTGGAATGCTTAGTTTTGAAGTGAATACTACAGCGTAGTAAGACATTGTCTCCCACACTCGTAAAGTTGAGCCATTATTTACCCAGTATCTGCCTTTCTGAACATTTTACAGGGACCTTTGGACAAGTTCTGGAATGCTGGGACTTGGAAAACCAAGAATCAGTAGCTATCAAGATTGTGCGTTCCCTGCAGAAATACCGGGAGGCTGCTATGATTGAAATTGATGTGCTTCAGAGACTTGGGAAGCATGATTTTACTGGTAGTCGGTAAGTAATTTACCTTCCTTGATTTACTTCTTAACTCTATGTTGAGTTGATGGGTTTGCATGAATGGTTCTATGCCTGCAGTTGTGTGCAAATACGGAATTGGTTTGACTATCGTAATCATATATGTATAGTAAGTACATATGAATCAAGAAGATTATACTTATCTTTTATTTTATTGATGGCCTAGAGTTTAATCATGAGTTAATGACCTTTTCAGGTATTTGAGAAGCTTGGACCAAGCTTATACGACTTCCTACGGAAGAATAACTACCGTTCATTTGCTATTGATCTTGTTCGGGAGTTTGCCAGACAAATATTAGAGTCTGTTACATGTGAGTATTTTTGATTCTGCAGTTTGCTGTATTAGACAAATTTCTGTTTCGTTGTAACCTTGCCCTAATGTGCTAAATTATTCCTTTCTGTCTCTGTATGCCAGTGTTAAGCACCTATAGTTTTTTTTTGTCTTTTGATTCTAGAAATTCCCTTCCCCAGACCCCCCACCTTGTGTGGGAGCTTTCAGGACTGGGTACACCCTTTTTGTGCCTATACATAGCAATTATATTTTTTCTTACCTCTGCAGTTATGCATGACCTGCGGCTTATTCACACAGATCTTAAGCCAGAGAACATTCTCCTTGTTTCACCTGATACAATCAGGGTTCATGATTATAAGGTACTGAACTTCTAAATTAGAACCTGGCCTAAATTGGAGATTTTCCAAATGTATACTTTTTTCATTCATTCTTTGGAGGTGATCCATTGGTTACTTGATGCTCTTTACTGCATAAGCAAATTTCTTTTTCTTTCTTTCTAAACTCAGTTTTCTTTTTTCTCCATGAAGATTCCTATACGCCCACCCAAGGATGGGTCTGTTTTCAAGAACCTTCCAAAATCGAGTGCTATCAAGCTTATCGATTTTGGAAGTACAACATTCGATCATCAAGATCACAATTATGTCGTGTCAACAAGACATTACCGTGCCCCAGAAGTTATCCTTGGTACAAAGAACATTTTTTCTCTTTCAGTTTTCCTTGACAATACACCCTTCACTTTAGTGCACTTTATTTATGACTATGTTGTTTAATATATTTTTTGTTATATTCTATTCTGTTTGTAGGTCTTGGGTGGAATTATCCATGCGATCTTTGGAGTGTGGGATGCATTTTGGTTGAGCTCTGCTCGGTTAGTACACAATAGCTGCCATTCTGTACTTGACCTGCTTAATGTTTACATATATCTAGTGCCAGTTATTTGTGAATCTCCGGTTATTGTGAAATTTACTTTGTCCTTTTGGTTCTGCATGGAAATTCTAGGGGGAGGCTTTATTTCAAACACATGAAAATTTGGAGCATCTTGCTATGATGGAGAAGGTTCTAGGCCCCCTTCCCAAACACATGATTGCCAGAGCTGAGTATGTATACAAGAGCTTTATAAGTTTGTATGAACTGTTAAGATAATACCAGATGATGTGCATCCGGGCATATGCTGCTGCCTAGGTTCATCTGATGAATGCTAAGTTGGATAAATGGTTACTGACATACATTGATTCATGCCATTCTGCAGTAGACGAGCTGAGAAATACTTCAGGCGTGGACTAAGGCTTGACTGGCCAGAGGGGGCAGCCTCACGAGAAAGCATGAAGGCAGTATGGAAATTGCCTCGTCTGCAGGTAATTACTGTTTGACGTTGTCACTACTCTTATCAGCATAACACTTTTTTCTGTGCTTAAGGTATGATAGATAGCTGATATTTTATCTTGAGCAATTCTAATTCTAGTCATGAAATTTATGCAGAATCTGGTCATGCAACATGTCGATCATTCTGCTGGGGATCTAATAGATCTTCTTCAGGGGCTTCTTCGGTATGATCCTGATGAGCGTCTTAAGGCACGACAAGCTCTTCAACACCCTTTCTTTACCAGATGCCACAGAAGATGTGGTTACTGAGAGTATACTGAGAATGAAATGCTCAATTCTGTATTTCTTCATTTCGATGTGTAAGAGCTACCAAAAAAATGGAAATGTTCTGCAGAAAATGAAATGTGCTAACTCACATCCTGTTCAATGATGTGAAAGGTAACTGTTGTATATAAAATGAGTTTGTTGACTGTTGATTTATTTAAACCAGGCGGTACTTTTTCAGTTGATACATGCCTTCGAAATCCATACTAATTTTCCCCAGACTACTCAGTACTAACAGGTAGCATGCAGAAATCTCAAATCTCTAACTTGAGGATAGTCACTGAGGATTAGGGGGATGCAGTGGCTGGCTTGCATGAAAGACTGTTACAAATTTGATGGCGACAAACGGTGAGCACTCTGTCCATCTGATTCAGTCTAGCTGTATGCCTCAGACAGTCTTAACAGATAGTCTTGAGTGCATCTAGGATTTCATTATTATTTCTTCTGCAGCTGTTGACATTTTCGGTTGATATAGCATTTTTTTTGTCATGTCGGCGTGTCAATATGCCTGGAAGAAAATCCACGAATGCCCAACTTCGTTAACACTAGTTTTACTGTTACGGTTCAAACTGGTTTTTTATAGCAATGAATGCTTGTCCCAGGCTTGGCTATGATTTTCTGTGGGCTGGTTAGCATCGACCATCTTACTGAGTCAGCTGGCTGGCACCTTGAATTTGAAACTAAATCAAGCTTAAACAAAGCCTTAACATGGTATTATTTTTGGCTCCACTAGAATGGCAATCCTTGAGCCCTTTACCCAACTTAGTTGGTGCTTTAATGATATTCTCTTAAAAGGCAACAGTGTAATGCAAGTGGGCCATGTCGAGCGACCCACACTGATCCATCTTAGTTCTGTCAAAGGGATATGTGTGCACAACTTAAGCCACTTGTTAGAGAAGTGAACACCGGTTCAGTGGGTGGGTTCAGTGGGTTGTTGATCCATTTTCATTTGTTGCATCCTGCTTTGCCCTTTCTGTGTGGAAATCTGGAAAATGATTGTGGTTTGGACTAATAGTGCTTTCTACGTGTCAAAGGCTTTTAATTAACTACTATTCTTTGGAGTGGCGTTTTGTTGATTATTTTTTCTGATTATATTTTGTTGACTTATATTTTTGAGAGGGTGTGTTTTTATTAACTTGAAGTTGAAACTTTATTTGGAGATGCTGTTATGTCATTCTTTGAATTAAAAGCTGCACTTGAGCTGTAGACCTGATTGGATGGTAACTTTACCAACTTTAATTCTCTGGAGTGGCGTTTTGTTGGTTATTCTTTTTTTGTTGGTTATTCTTTTGAGTATATTGTTGTTAACTTATATTTTTTTGAGACACAGTGTTTTTGTTAACTTGAAGTTGAATATTTTTTTTTAACTCCGCCTATGTTGTCTCAACATAGCCGGTCCCAAGCCCGGGTAAAGGAGGAGGGTTGTGATAGGCTTGGCGAGCCAACGTAAAAACTCAGCCACTCTTATGAAGATGAAACCCAAAAGATTTTCGTTGGGGCGTAACCCTCTCAGCGACGCGCCACATCGGAACCCGGGTGTGGTGGAAAATGGGCAAGGGCCGGGCCGTCACCCCCCAAGTGGCGCGCCGTATCTTGATCCGGATACGGTGGCAAGTGAGCGAGGATCGGGTCGTCGCATCCTTAGTGGCGCGCTACATCGGCGCCCGGATGTAGTGGAAAATGAGCAAGGGTCTTCGCATTTGACTCGACGAGTGCGAAGGGTAAGGAAGCTAGCCGAGCCTAGGAGGATTCGCTTAGGTAGCTGGAACGTAGGGTCTCTGACAGGGAAGCTTCGGGAGCTAGTTGATGCAGCAGTGAGGAGAGGTGTTGATATCCTTTGCGTCCAAGAAACCAAATGGAGAGGACAGAAGGCGAAGGAGGTGGAGGATACCGGCTTCAAGCTGTGGTACACGGGGACGGCTGCAAACAGAAATGGCATAGGCATCTTGATCAACAAGAGCCTCAAGTATGGAGTGGTAGACGTCAGGAGACGTGGGGACCGGATTATCCTGGTCAAGCTGGTAGCTGAGGACTTGGTTCTCAATGTATCAGCGCATATGCCCCGCAAGTAGGCCACAATGAGAACACCAAGAGGGAGTTCTGGGAAGGCTTGGAAGACATGGTTAGGAGTGTACCGATTGGTGAGAAGCTCTTCATAGGAGGAGACCTCAATGGCCACGTGGGTACATCTAACACAGGTTTTGAAGGGGCGCATGGGGGCTTTGGCTATGGCATCAGGAATCAAGAAGGAGAAGATGTCTTAAGCTTTGCTCTAGCCTACAACATGATTGTAGCTAACACCCTCTTTAGAAAGAGAGAATCACATCTGGTGACTTTTAGTAGTGGCCAACACTCTAGCCAGATTGATTTCATCCTCTCGAGAAGAGAAGATAGGCGTGCGTGCCTAGACTGTAAGGTGATACCTGGGGAGAGTGTTGTACCCCAGCATAAGCTGGTGGTTGCTGACTTCCGCTTTCGGATTCGTGTCCAGCGGGATAAGTGTGCCAAGGTCGCTAGAACGAAGTGGTGGAAGCTCAAGGGGGAGGTAGCTCAGGTGTTCAAGGAGAGGGTATTTAAGGAGGGCCCTTGGGAGGAAGGAGGGGATGCGGACAATGTGTGGATGAAGATGGCGACTTGCATTCGTAAGGTGGCCTCGGAGGAGTTTGGAGTGTCCAGGGGAAGGAGAAGCGAAGATAAGGATACCTGGTGGTGGAATAATGATGTCCAGAAGGCGCTTAAAGAGAAGAAAGATTGCTTCAGACGCCTATACCTGGATAGGAGTGCAGACAACATAGAGAAGTACAAGATGGCGAAGAAGGCCGCAAAGCGAGCTGTTGGTGAAGCAAGGGTCGGGCATATGAGGACCTCTACCAACGGTTAGGCACGAAGGAAGGTGAAAGGGACATCTATAAGATGGCTAAGATCCGGGAGAGGAAGACGAGGGATATTGGCCAAGTAAAATGCATCAAGGACGGAGCAGGCCAACTCTTGATGAAGGACGAAGAGATTAAGCATAGATGGCGGGAGTACTTCGACAAGCTGTTCAATGGGGAGAATGAGAGTTCTACCATTGAACTGAATGACTCCTTTGATGAGATCAGCATGCGTTTTGTGCGGCGCATCCAGGAGTCTGAGGTGAAGGAGGCTTTAAAAAGGATGAAAGGAGGCAAGGCGATGGGCCCTGATTGTATCCCCATTGAGGTGTGGAAAGGTCTCGGGGACATAGCGATAGTATGGCTAACCAAGCTTTTCAACCTCATTTTTCGGGCAAACAAGATGCCAGAAGAATGGAGACGGAGTATATTAGTACCAATCTTCAAGAACAAGGGAGATGTTCAGAGTTGTACTAATTACCGTGGAATTAAGCTGATGAGCCATACAATGAAGCTATGGGAGAGAGTCATTGAGCACCGCTTAAGAAGAATGACAAGCGTGACCAAAAATCAGTTTGGTTTCATGCCTGGGAGGTCGACCATGGAAGCCATTTTCTTGGTACGACAACTTATGGAGAGATATAGGGAGCATAAGAAGGACTTGCATATGGTGTTCATTGACTTGGAGAAGGCCTATGATAAGATACCGCGGAATGTCGTGTGGTGGGCCTTGGAGAAACACAAAGTCCCAGCAAAGTACATTACCCTCATCAAGGACATGTACAATAATGTTGTGACAAGTGTTCGAACAAGTGATGTCGACACCGATGACTTCCCGATTAAGATAGGACTGCATCAGGGGTCAGCTTTGAGCCCTTATCTTTTTGCATTGGTGATGGATGAGGTCACAAGGGGTATACAAGGAGATATCCCATGGTGTATGCTCTTTGCGGATGATGTGGTGCTAGTTGACGATAGTCGGACGGGGGTAAATAGGAAGTTAGAGTTATGGAGACAAACCTTGGAATCGAAAGGGTTTAGGCTTAGTAGAACTAAAACCGAGTACATGATGTGCGGTTTCAGTACTACTAGCTGTGAGGAGGAGGAGGTTAGCCTTGATGGCCAGGTGGTACCTCGGAAGGACACCTTTCGGTATTTGGGGTCAATGTTGCAGGAGGATGGGGGTATTGATGAAGATGTGAACCATCGAATCAAAGCCGGATGGATGAAGTGGCGCCAAGCTTCTGGCATTCTCTGTGACAAGAGAGTGCCACGAAAGCTAAAAGGCAAGTTCTACAGGACGGCGGTTCGACCCGCAATGTTGTATGGCGCGGAGTGTTGGCCGACTAAAAGGCGACATGTTCAACAGTTAGGTGTGGCGGAGATGCGTATGTTGAGATGGATGTGTGGCCACACGAGGAAGGATCGGGTCCGGAATGATGATATACGAGATAGAGTTGGGGTAGCACCAATTGAGGAGAAGCTTGTCCAACATCGTTTGAGATGGTTTGGGCATATTCAGCGCAGGCCTCCAGAAGCTCCAGTGCATAGCGGACGGCTAAAGCGTGCGGAGAATGTCAAGAGAGGGCGGGGTCGACCGATTTTGACATGGGAGGAGTCCGTTAAGAGAGACCTGAAGGATTGGAGTATCGACAAAGAGCTAGCTATGGACAGGGGTGCGTGGAAGCTTGCTATCCATGTGCCAGAGCCATGAGTTGGTTGCGAGATCTTATGGGTTTCACCTCTAGCCTACCCCAACTTGCTTGGGACTAAAGGCTTTGTTGTTGTTGTTGTTGAAGTTGAATATTTTTTTGGAGACGCTGTTTCATTTTTTTGGAGGGCATTATTCGAGTTATTTATCAGAAACTAGATGCAAGTTAACTCTCTCTGTCTCGGCTATAGTGCTCAGAAAAAGAAAATGTTTCCAGTCTGACATAGGTGTCATGATTGCCGTGTGGATGAACTGTGCTTTCTAGTATTCAGTTTGGGCGAGGTAAATATTTTGATAAACAGACGCTTGGTAGAGTAGTAACTGCTAACAGGTGGTCTGCCTTTGCCTTTGAAGGTTTTAGAACATGGTTTTCTTTAAATTGTTGTCCAATAAGTATATGA